ACTTCTCTGCTCTCCACAATAGATTTTTCATTTCAGCTATAATAATAAAACTTTCTTACTCTCAAAAACACGTGATAGAAAAGAAAAAACATTAAGTTCATAGCACAGTATTTATAAGAACAAATAAGATAGTATACGTTCGATCCCTATCTGCAGTGTTTCTTTTTTTTTTCTTCATTTCTTCTCCTACTGATTGCTTCGATATCTTCTTTCGTTGATGGCCAGAGCTACTCTAGAAATCTCAAGAGCAAGGAAGAGAATTGATCACATCAGTTTATGAATATACTATTTTCATTCGCACAGAGTTTACCTTTCGAAGCTACATCTCGGATGACAGAAAACAACGAAGCATGCAAAAGTGCTTGCTTTGCCAAAAAATATCTTTCTACATGGTTCAAGATCGTAGTACAATCGTATCTTACAAGAGAGGCGGACTAAGTTAATACGATATTCCTGAAACTTAAAGCATTGCCGGACATGGTACGAATTACAGTTTAGTCTCATTTTGATCTCTATCAAGAGTGCATATTAGAATACAATACAAACTCAAACAGTTAGATTTCATTCAAATTAAACTTCTTGATGGTTATACCTGTTCAGAAGTCTCAAGAGAATTTCGTTGATGAAAAGTTTTGGAGTGCGTCATCAAAACGATCATATATAACTAGCTATCAATACTGCAATATCATGCTTTTCAAATGATATCAGTAGCCAAATGAAAAAAATAAATACTCAAAGAGTTTGCTAATCTATATATCTATCCAAATCTACCATCTTTTCAAACGGTCTTCACTAGAGAATTGCGTCGATAATTTGCAAACGTTCTCGTTTAATTTTGTCAGTACTTATGAAATGTAGATTTTTGTGTAAACTAAAAAGCAGGAAAATCAGTCAACTTGTCTATTTTTGTGGTGCACAATCCTAATAAAATGTTTTGTTTTGTTGTTTTTGTGATACATATAATAACATTATAAATCGTACTCAAACTGAAAACTTCTAATGTTCATCAAGAGCATTTTCGTTATTCATTATTTGTTTAAAACTTCTTATGATTTTGGCCATCTATCTAATGACAATTAATCATTACCACCTCTGTTTGATATGTGTGAACTAACAGCCTTGCCAGACATCGAACATTAAGTGAATAATAATTTCAATAGGAACATTAAGTACTCGATATAAATCAAAGTTTGCTGTATATGTTTTAAACAAGTTCTTGGTTTTTGTATATTTGTATTTCAATCAGTTTCATATAGACAAAAGTTTTAAGTTTTAAAACTTGACGAGTTAATTTTTAGCATTAAGTTTTTAATTAGAATCTAATCTACATGCATCTCGCTCACTTAATTATTATCTTCTATTAAATTTATGTTAAGCAAACGTCTCAGAGAGAACTATTGAACATTAAGAAAAGTGAAAGAACTGAGTTTGTTGTTTCGCCATTTTGAGAATTCATTGATGACTCCATTGATATCTAAGCATTCGATTTTTAAAAATCTTATATTCATCTTTTTATAAAATCACAAATGCGATTATGTGATTCTTATTTCGATGAAAAAATTTGATTTAAAATAAGAAATAAGTAACTCGAAAAAGTCAAATTTAACACTGATGAATAATTCAAAAAGGTTTTGTTGTTCTTAATAATATATCAGTATCTTTTAAATAAAAATTTAACGACGTTTTCTTAATTTGAAAGAAAAATTAAATTGTTTACATAAATTCTATCATTTTCGATCTACAATGAAATTCTCATTTGATATATATTTCGAAATTTTCTCTTTCCAACGATTAGAATAAAAATAAATAACTAATCAAATGGAAAATCATATATATAAATATATAAATATTATCTTTTTTATTCGTTTGACTACCATAAGTATTTCATTAACAAAAACATATTGAAATTCAAAAAGTAAATATAAGTTTAATTTTGTACATTTTTTCAATACGTCAAACAATTTCTGGATAGATGAGAATAAAAAATGGAAAGTGATCCTATTGGTTTAAACTAGCTAGGATAGTACGGAGTGAAAACAAAACTACCCCCTTGAGATTAAAATATAACTAAATATTTATTTATAATTATAAATGAACTAAATTATATACCAACAGTAACAATGGTGAATGTACAAATATGCAATATATACAACAACAATTTTATACAATCTTACAATTGAAAAATTTAAATCAAACAATAATCAATATTTTTTCACCCTATGTGGACCTATTTCTTTATCATATATTAGAAAATTTAATTTTAAGAGAGGGTTCATCAGACTACTGACCAAGCATACATACGACAAATTTTGACTTTTAAATAAGTTACACCATTCGAAAGCCCGTGAAAAGTTATGTTCAAAACCAAATTTTTAGCCCCTTCTGAAAGTCCTATCAAGAGATATGAACGGATCTTTGAATCCACCCTCAGGTACTTTTTTATGAATTTTAGAGAATTCTATGTAGCACTTTATGACTACATGTATTAGCATCAAAGATCCTTCTGTTTTAGTATTAATTAATGCATCTTGATTAGATCTGTAAAATACACTATGATAGAACAAGATTATCAAATATAAATCATGTCTAAAGAGTCTCTAATATGTTATTTTTAACTAAACAAATCGACAAAAATGATCATTTTTATGAAAAAATTTTATATTTTTGCTCTGAAAGTATGCCAGAGCGATTCTCTCCTCAAAATCTTTTTGCATCAAGAGAAAGCTTGTTAAAACTGTATCTTTCTATATATAATTCAACAAAAAAAATGTGGAGAGGTTATTTAGTTTTTGAGCTCGAAGAAGACCATCGCCATAGGAAATAGGTCCACATAGGATGAAAAAATAGTGACTATTGTTTGATTTAAATTTTTCAATTGTAAGATTGTATAAAATTGTTGTTGTATATATTGTATATTTGCACATTCACCATTGTTACTGTTGGTATATAATTTAGTTCATTTATAATTATAAATAAATATTTTAGTTATATATTAATCTCAAGGGGGTAGTTTTTTTAGCACTCTGTACTAAGCTACACACAAAGTTGTGTGTAGCGTGTGAGTGTAGCTTATCTTAACCCATGTGTATATATATATAATCAGCTGATAGATATGTATTGACGGTTTGCGGTTTCAAAATGTCTTGTATTTCTGCCTACATGCAACAAACTACTGCATCAAAACGATCTACAAAGATAAAAATCGATGATATTACAGCAATTCTTCTTATTAGTACAGAAAGTCAATATAAAATACTTGAGAATTTCATACAACAGTTTGTTTCAGTTCTCTTTATTTTTTAGAAGGGACTTCTAATCTTGTTTTTGTTAAGAACACAACTATTCAATTAAATGTAACAAGTATATTTAGACAAGAATGTCATTTTCAGGTTTATTTGAAATTTTCTTGTATTTTTTTGGTCTAAATATTTGTTTTGTTAAATCATTAATTTTCAATCTTAATGGTGAATCGTGTTTATATTACCCATGGCGTATTGTTTTACCTACAATCGATAAATGGTCAAACACAACAACACCAGCAATTCAATCAATAATCGATATTCGCTATTTATTTGTTTACTCTCTATTGCACGATGGCGTTCACGTTTCATTGTCCCTATGATATCAATTGATGGAAAAGTTAGTTTTATGTCAAAGAGAAAAGGATTTATTAAATAGTTTTTGTTTAAGTATGTTTGTCGATCTCCAATAAATAGTTGCTTCTTCGAGTGAGTATATTCTCGTTCTGGTATCGATTGTTTATTATATACAGAAAATAGAACAACAAATTCATTGATAGCTGACTGTTCAGTAAATTCATTGCCTGTAACAAATGTTCTTGATAGATCACCAAATATTGCAATTGTTACTGGTGGTGCTACTGCTGATTCCTTAAATACAGAGGTACCTCAACAACAAAACACGTTTGATCAACTTCACGGAGCTGATATTGATGTACTGCAAACACTTGAAATTAGTTCTATAGACAATTCAATGGTTGAACAAAACAGATGTTTGCTGTTAAGTAAGAATTAGATAATTATTGAAAAGAAAAATTTTTTTTTTATCTTAAGTGTAATATCATTAGCAAATTCAGATACAGAAAATCGTTATCAAGATTTATATTATTAATTATTCGTTATCCATGTAAAAAATAAACTTCTGAACGAAAACATTTTATTTATATTTTATGTTTCTAGGATGTGAACATTTTAAGAATTTTGAATACAGGAATATAATGATAAATTAAAGTTTTATTAATTCTCATTACCATTTATTCATTCGTCATTTCAAGCACCAGAACGTCTTTCATCTCCTCTATCAACCGATTCGTCAGATTTGAAGGTGATTTATTTTCATTTTATTGCTAATCTTTAATTTATTAAGGCAACCATGAAATTCAATAGATTTAACTAAAAATTATTTTCAACTAATTTTTCGTCATCTCCAAATAGGTATTTCTTATTTAAATGAAAATATAAGTATCCCTATTGAGATTTTGTAGACGATCATGGACTTCTTATGCATTGTATAAAAGATTGGAATCGTACATCATTATTTGTATGGTTTTTTACGTTTATCATCATCAGCTGATAGATGGATCCATCAATCACTGACTCTTGAAGAAATTCTTTATTTAATCTTAATTTATAATCGATGTTTATTCAGATGTCAGATTTATTTCAAATAGACATTGTTTACTAGGAAGATTACTTCGTGGTGAATAAGAAAGTTATTAGTTAGGAAAAATGAAATGAATAAATTTGGTTCTTATAGATTCTCTATTTTTCTTTTATAATGCTTCTACACTTAGTTTCAAATGAATTCGTTTATCAACAGTTGAAATAGAATGTTCACTAAACGTTGTTTTTTTTTAATAAAGAAGATGTTTCTTCATCAACCGCTACAAGACAAAGTTATGCGTTTTCTTCGTTAGCTATGGTTGATGCTTTGCTTTTTTTTTCTCTCAGATTAATTGTTCATTTTGATCTATCCATATGATGAATATTGATCTTGCTGATGCTCTTGAAATTGCCTCTGAAAGAAGACAAAAGAAGTTGAAGTATAGTGCTCAATGGAATAGTCAACATCGGCGCTATGATGACTCAATGAACGAGGCAATCAACAACAATAACACAACCGTGTCTGACTCCGGTTGTTTAGTTTTTCCTCCTTCTTTTGACACTAATCATGTTTTACCATCAGTTGTCAGCAAACCAACTGCATCAACAGACAATGAAACTGCCGATGAAGACGATCTTTTTTACAATGATGAGGATATGAATACATCACTTGAATTAAATGATATTTCTGAAAGTGATGAATGCTCCACACCTTCACCATTAGAAAATATCAAACAACGATTACATCCCTTTACAGATGTTTCTTTAGAGGCATTCTCATATGAATTCCTTCATCTGTTAAGAAAATCAAACATTAGCAAAACACATGCCCAAGATTATCTGACTCTCATCAAAAATATTTTACCACAACCGAATTCACTACCAAATAACATGATACAACTATATCGACAACTCGGCATTAACGAAAATTTGTTTACAAAACGTATTGTATGCCGAAATTGTTTATTAAATATATCCTCCACAAATATAGCTTGTCCTCAATGTGGAGTATGTGATGAATCACGACAGGCTTTTATTTATGATGTCGACATACAACTAGTTATTTCTTCTATAATTAAACGTATGTCAGCTGTTATTGAAGAATATAAAATTCGTATAAGATCAATGGATGATAACATGCTCTGCACTGATATCCCGTTCAGCTATTTGTATCAACAGATGCTAAAGCGTTTTAATCATGAAAATATTATCAGTCTTATGTTCCATTTAGACGGCATGATACTTTTCGATTTTTCTCCTTTAACTGTGCATCTATATGATTTATCATTTAGGCATCGGACTATGCAAATCAACTAAACTCAAGATGTGGCTTTTCAGTTGCTCATTCGTCGAACTACCTCCAACATACCGATACCAGCGGCATAATATGCCTGTCTTATCTGTATGGATTGGGTTTGAAGACCCAAAACCACGTATTTGGCTTCAAAACTGTCTACAAAAACTGAAATGGTTAAAAGAAATAGGTGATTAGTTGACAGGTTTGATTACATTAGTTATAGCTTCTCATTAATTACTAGGCATTCCAATTCGTCCACATTTACGTTATGATCTTAAGTTTTTCTCAATTATTGGTGACTGTCCAGCGTTAAAGCTGATTTTGAACTTCATCAGCCATGTGGGATATAGTTGCTGTTTCTTCTGTAAAATTCGTGGTATTCATATATACAACAAGAGACAATATCCATTTGAAGACATTGTGGTTCATCGTGATACCCGTTCATACTTAACGGACTCTGCCAAGGCAGAAAGAACTGGTCAAAATATCTGTGGTCACCTTGGCACAAGTATCCTTACAGAATTTCTCGACATATCTTTGCCTCAGGCGATATTAATAGACTATTTACATATCACCCTACTACGACATACAAAGATCATTATTCAAGATTTGTATCGTCGTTTAAAACCTGTGCATCGCGAAGAGATTGATGTACGACTGAGGAATCAACAATTCCCTCATTTTTTTAATAGGCGAATGCGAGCATTACAAGATTTGTCGTTTGTTAAAGGAACTGAATTGAAAAATATCCTGTTTTATGGATTGATACCTGTCTTTTTTAATTATTTATCTATTGATCATATAGCGCATTTGTGTCTTTATGTTTCTGGTATTCGTCTGATCCATAGTGAATGTCTTCTTGGCGAAAAGACTCACATTGTGGCTGGTCAACTACTGAAACATTATTACATGGACCATGAGAAGTTCTACGTAGGTGTTCAGAATTTCGTTCTGCACCTACATCGTCACTATGAACAACAGTATATTAATTTTGGCGCTCTCAGTAATACTTCAACTTTCGCTCAAGAGGATTTAATAGGCTGTAAGAAAACTTTAGCATTTTCACTTCTTCTGTCAACGATTAATGCAATATTTTTCTTGTTCAGTTATAAGCTCAAATAGACATGGTACACGTCACTACGGTGAACTCATAACATTCTACTACTGTCTAGACTTTGCTTTGCACAACAACAACATTTCTATCGAATTAATGAAGCAATTAGATGAACCTTTTGATTATCATCAATCATATGATTGCTCAATGGACATTCTTATTAAACAGCAACATAGTCTTTTGTGCAGTTGCGAGAATATTAAACAATGTGTAATTGTCTCCCGTCGTTGTCATATCCACTCTCAAGTATATCATTCCCTGCTGTACGAACGACGACAGAGATCTGTTTCATATTTTGTGCAATATCACAATAAAAACATGGACATACAATAT